ACAGTTTCTCATTGTCAGAGGGGAGGGGGGTGTGTACCGGTTTTTCGAAGGAGGTGGGCGAGCGGTTGTCGGTGTCGGTGGTGTCGGTGTCGGTAAGTATGTATCTCGAATCTCTTTGCGGGCACGGGAGAGGGGGTGGATCACGAAAAACAAAAGACTTACGGCGTCTGCCACGAGGTGTGCGGGCGGGAGGGCTGCCTGCAAGTGTCCACTCTTCAGCAGGGGGTCGGCGAGGCCTGCCACGCTGGCGTGTAAGGGGCTCGGGTGGAGAGGAAGATGTGGGCTGGTAAGGTGGGCCGTGGATAGGAGCGGTTGCCCGTGAGAAGCGGCGAAGGCCGAGGAGGAGGGGTGGGCCGCGAAGGGCGAAGTCGTCAAAGTTTGGGTGTTCAGCGAGGGCGGGGTGGGCCCGGCAGCGGGCGCGGACAATGGCAATACTGTACTTACGTCCGAGTGAGCGGGCACCGCGTAATTACCCTGGATGGTGTAGGCTTGCCCACCAGCCAGGATCACTGGCCCACTAACTTGGGGTTTAGGGCGGTAAGGGATTGTTGCACCTTTAGGAGGGGACTGAAACAGAAAGAAGACACACCGCACGAGTGCGAATACACTGGTCACGGACCGCTGTCGAGGGTCGTGGATTCGCGGCGCATGCTCCGTCGCGGTCGGCCTCGATCGACTGCTCCGACGCGACCGCGCGCGCGGCTCCTCGCTTCCGTCGCTTCGCGGGTCCAGCGTCTCGAAGAGCACCGGACGGTTCGGACGGTTCGCGAGACGTCGCATCGGATTCGCTTCGGAGACGAGGAAGCCGCGCGGCGCGGCGCGCGCTCGGAGCTGGACGTGCTTTTCGCGATATCGGATACGGTCGGAGGACGAAAGGTGCCCCGCGTCCCGTAGGGGCTGCTCCGTAGCGTCTCGACTACTCGCCGCGTTTCCGAAACGAGTTTATACCGATATCGAAAGCTTCTCGCGGAAAACGAGCGAGCGTCGAAACGAGCACTCGCCGCTTCTCCGTAGCGTCGATTTACGAACGTTTGCCGAACTTTTCGTTGCTCGAGCGTTCGTCGATCGAATCTACGAACGGAACGGACGGGGGGCGGGGCCGCGAGAATCGAGACGGCTGGCCACACGCGACAGCGAGAGTTCTTTTCGCCCGTGCACCGAAGGCCGTCGTTCCAGCGTTTATATTTACGAGACGTCGCTCCGATCGCGTTCGGATTCCGCGTAAAATCCTCGTTGACCAAGAGAAGCGACGATATTTGTTCCGGAAGCTTTCGTTTCTCGTATTCGAGACAATCGTATATTCGGGACTTTCGTTTTCTCTGTGCGCGAACGCGAACCCGAATCCGGCTACCGCGCGGCGTCGCAGCTTCGGCCGCTCGTTTCAAATTCCGATCTCGTTGCAAGAAACAACCTCGCTGATCGGACGATCGGATGCTCGTTTTCTTTATCGCGTCGAATCGCTCCCAGCGGAACAACGGGGGGCGTGCGCGTTTTATCTTTTCCGCGATAGCAAGCGTGGTAAAAACGCGACCGAGTCGTTCGCCGATCGTCGCCGTCGACGACGACGCCCGTGTATCGGAATACCAGATTCTGATTTCGACGCTTCGTTATTTTCGATCGTTCGGAATCGTTCCCGCGGCGTTTCCGCCAACGGAATCCCGACACGTTGGCGGTCTCTCCGGGAAAGTCCCGGTCGCGGAGCGAACGAATCTTTCGCGCGAAAGCTTCCGGTTTGCGCCGGTCCAGGTAATCCGGATCCGGGCGATCTATCGCGACGGATCGGAGCGACGCCTCGGCGCGTCGCGTCGCGTCGCACGGTACGTTGGCCGGAATACGTACCTCTAGCATAACGCAGCATATGTGGTATATGCATTGCGTGATGGCCTCGCTGGTACCGGATATGGTAACCGCGCGTTCCGTCGAATTCGGCAGCATCTCGGAGGCGACTTGGATCGAGGCGCCGGTCACTTCGCGAATCTCCTTGATCTTGGAGCCACCCTTGCCGATGAGGGAGCCGCACTGGGACGCGGGCACGATCAGCCTGAGAGTGATCGGGGGCCTGGTCGCGCCGCCGCCACCCTGGGTGTCGTGGAACTGCGAGCACCATTCCTCGAATTTCTTGCATATCAACGTGAACGCTTTGAAGATCGCGTTCGTCGGCCCGGTCACCGTCACTATGCGCTCCTGGCAAGTTCCGTCCGAGATGTTGATCTTCGCCCCGGACTGCAACATCAACGTTTCCTCCCGTTAAACGAACCGCTCCGCGATCCTTTCCGCTTCCGACTCTCACTCGTTCGTCTCGGGTAAACGTTTGTAGCCGCGAAACGACAGATTTCGCGGCGAGAAAAGTTCGAGACGATACGATCGCGATCGACGCGAATCGGCGGTGCTTTAGCGAACGATCCGCCGACTCGATGCGACGAGCGCGGCGTTTCCTCGGTTACGGAAACGCCGAAAGATCGCTGTCTCCGGTAGCGGCAGGCGGGCAGGAAGCGAATCGAATCGACGACGAAACTCACCTCTTCGCGGAACCTCTTAACGATCTCTCCTTTCTTCCCGATGATACTGCCGACCTCCTGCAACAGATAACGCAACGTTACAACTTTTACGAAGGCCACGCGCTCGTGGATATCGTAAAACGTAAACCGTAGCCTTGAAACGCGCGCCTGCGTCGCGCTCTCGAGCGACGCGCGTGGCGAACGGACCCGCGGCCGTTCTCGAGCAGTTTCTTTCGACGAATTCGATCGGTATCGGAATCGGAGACACGGTTGACAAACGGTGATAGGTCGTCGCGCGAAATCCCGCCGATCAACGGCGAGACCGCGACGAAAGCGGCGAAACAATGAAATAGCATATTAGACCGTTGAAGCGACGAATTCGCTGATGCGCCCGTTAATTTTCGCAGGGTCGTCGTGGAACAATGAGACCGCTAATTTGAACGGGAGCACGAAGCGGCCGCTCCGTGGCAATCTCCTCTTTGCGGAACTCTCGGCGAGAGACCGCGCCGCGCGGGAGCGAAATGGCGCGGCGCGACACGGCCGCTGCTGCTCGGCAGCCTATAATTAGTTGCGCGTTCTCGCAGCCCGCGTCCAGCCAGATCCCGTGTCTTCCTTGACACGGTCTGACCCCACGATAATGTCACCGCTCAGGCTTCTGGGCGAGCAGGTATGCGCCCGTACGCGCTCCCTCTAAACTTAGATATGGCGGCCGGACTCGCTCGGTGCTCGGGGCTCGGTCGCTCGGTGCTCGGAACTCGTCGCTCCGGATGCCTGGCGTCTCTCGTTCTCCTCCGGGCAGGCGATGCCACGAACGCTTCGCGTATCGTGCTAAATTCTTGATTCGCCAACCGACGAGGATCGAAGAGGACCGAGACGCGACCACCCCCTCCCGATGCTCGCGTTCGCGCGGCTAAATTCGAGAGCGTTCGGGTTTATCGAACGCGGGCCACCCCGCCGACTTACGCGCGACCGTTGGAATCGGCGACGACCCTTGGGAGGCCGCGGACACTTCCGGCCGGATTCGATTCGTTTTCGAGAGCACGAATTGGACGGAAGCGCCGAATAAAAAATATCGCGGGAATTCCTCGGACGAAAGCTTGATAAACCGTTTAAAGAACTGGAAGTCGGGGCAAGTCGATGCGCTTGCCACGGAATTCCCTGGTTCGATAGAGTCGCGAGCATTCCGCGGAAGTCGAGGGAAGTCGTCGACGACGCGACTTATTTTCTACAAGGCTCGACAACCTGCGGAGTCGATGCTTGCGGGAAGCTATCGACCACCGAGTATCCGATTCGAAGAAAGACGACCTTGATTCGTAGAAAGGAGAATCCGAAAGGACGATCCGCGGTGGAGCGAATCTAGAATCTGGATTATGCGCACCGCGCTGTAGCCTCGCGGGTACAGCGAAGCTAACCGGCGCGAGAAAGAGAGGAGACGGAGGGTTGAAAATCGGCGCGGTCGAGCGGACACTGGTGCATACTCGGCTCGGCTCGCAGAGCTTGGACAACGTTGTCCGAAAGGCTGATCCGCCTTGTCCAGATATAGAAGGCTCGGATTTAGCCGGAGTTTCCGCGGCAGGCTTGCGAATCAACGACATCGCGAGAGAGAGAGCGCGATCCAGAGGGTCCTCTTTGTTGCCGTTCGTGTTCCCCGTTGGAAATAAACGACGTAGGATCTCGCGAAGGCGCCAAGCCCTGTAAATCATCGCGTGCCCTCCCCTTGGTCGGAGGAGACCGGAGACCGGACGAGCTGGACAACCGCGTCACCGTCGACGAATCTCCTTGGAAGCAAATATAGCTGGAACAAGAAGACACCGACGAGACGGGAGGGAAAAGCCGCGAGTCCCTGGCCAGGGGCCAATTAGAGAGGTCGCCGGCTAGCGCTGCTCGCGGAGCAGGAGTTTGCCGCCGCTCTCGAGCCCCTCCGTTTCTTCCGAGCGGAAGACCCGGCCTGTCCAGGACCGATACCCGTTGCAAAAATTTCATCGGCTTCGAATTATCGGGCGAACGGACGCGCGCGATACGCGAAGACGACCGATTGGCCACCGGCCATGGCTCCGCTCCAGCCTCCGCTCGCTGGAATCCGACGCGAGTTCCGAAACCTCTGAAAAGGATGATGTTCTCTCTCTCGCTGACCGCTGATGGGGCATCTCTTCCGCACGGATCGAGCCGTTCGCGAGACGAGCCCTGCGCGAGATAGCGGGCGCGCGAAAAAGATGGGAAACGTCGAAACGACGCGACGAGACGACGTCGCGGGAAGATAAGACGCGAGTTGGATTCGCGCCAGATATTTACGTCGATGCTGCCGCGGGACGACCCTGACATTGCGGCGATCGCGGGAAAAAATGCTGCCCGAACGGACCTTTGCCGTCAGCTTCTCGTCGTCGAGGCAACGATCGATCGAGATAGCCGAGAAAAAAAATGCCAATTCGAGCGGTTCGAAACCCGTGAACAAACGGGACGACTAAGTTTCCCGAAGCGCGCCTCGCCGCCTCTCTCGAACGTTTTCCTCCGGCTCTTCGTCGAGTCTCGCTCGGCTCGGTTCTCGTCCAAAGAGAAGGTCGAGAAAACGTCGAAGGCGTCGATCGCGCTCGGATTCCCCTCGAGAACCGTAGAGCGAAGCGGAAGAAGAACGCTCGCTCGTTCGCGCGACGGCCATGTGCGCCGTCGAAAGGATAATGGAATCGCGATAATTCGCGTTCGACCGAACCATTGGCCGGTGTTCCTGGCCACCGTCCAGACGGTGCACCTACGAGCTCGTCGCGCATATTCTCCCCGCGGACGCGACGCTTCTTCGGCCAAAAACGCGGCCAGACGTATTTATTTCGCTCGAAAGACTTTGTGCCCCCCCGCCCGCCGATCCACCCGCGTGTCCGTTCGCTCGTTAGCCTTCCGAACGGACAATTTTGCAACGCGCGACCCTACGCCACCGTTCCCCCGAGGTAACGCCCTTCCCTCCGCCCCACGGAGGCCATCGGGGCTCGATGGCCTTCGACGTTCCCAACCGCGAAGCGGAAGCAGAAGGGCGCGAATCCTCCGGATCCAAACGGTTCACCGGTTCATCGTGGACGTTTAGCGTGGAAGATTCCTTTTGTTCGACTTTCGAAGATCGCTGCTTCGACCTACTACTTTCTTCGTTCGAAGAAACGATATCGCGTATTCTCTAAATTGAAAAGCCTCGTCGTTCGTCGGTGTCACCGTTCGCGATTCGCCGGAGATATTTCATACGGAAGCTTGACCGAAACGCGAAGGTCGGTGTATTCGGGACGGAAGCGTTCGTTCCGCGACGAGAAAAAGAAAAACCTGCCGCCCCATGTGGCCCGGTGGCGGCACGGGGGTGTAATGCGAAAGGAAACTGCGCCGAGAGAGAGAGAGAGAGAGAGAGAGAGAGAGACTTGGTAGACGGTAGGTGGAGTAGAATCATGGCGGAAGAGGGAAGCCCCATTGACGTCGTCGTCGTCGCCATCGAGGCATAAAAACGTGGGTGTAACGAGATTTGTCATGGAAGTACTTCCCGCGCGAGAAGACCACCGGAGGAAGCCACGAGGGGGATCGAGCGAGACAGAGAGCGAGGGCGAAGGCGAGGAAGACAGGGGCGGGAGAAAGCGCGAAGAACGAGAGGGAAACCCTCCAAGGGTGGCTCGCCGCCGATAGGATAAAGGGAGTCTCGGATGAGCTGTCCCCGGGAAGAGCCCTGTGCACCGGAGCATCATTCAGATATGCAGAAACGTGCAATAATTTTCGTGCCGCACTTCGGCACGAACCGGTATCGGTGTGCGTATCGGCTACGTGGAACCGCGATGTCTGTGTTGCACGTTCTCTCTCTCTCTCTCTCTCTCTCTCTCTCTCTCTCTCTCTCTCTCCATGTTGCGCGAGCGGATCGCCCGATACCCAGCTACCGGCTGCCGGCTGCTAGCTGCTGCTACGTTGTCCCCGACGGGAATTTGATTCTTCGGGCTTGGGGAGGGCGTGCTTCCGAAGGATTCAATGCGAACAGAAATTTGAAAGGGATCTATTGGGTCGGCGGGAATGCGATGTCGGGTTTCGTGGATCTGCGAGCGAATCGATTCGACCCCGGCGGGGTTATTGTTTTGTTTAAACAATGGTCCGATGTAATAGGATCGACCGTGTACACGGGATGTTGCGCGATCGAGGGAAACGATAACCGCGTGGCAAATCGATTTAATCGCGCCAACTCGAAATCGACTACTTTCGCGACACCGTTGGGAACGAGTTTGCGCGCATTTTGCAAGATCGGCCGCGTAAACGATTCGAAGAGAACCGTGCATCGAGGAACGAAACCGTTCGTCGTTCGAAGTATCGAGAAGACCGCGTTTCCCGGGATATTCTTACGAGGCTCGCAAGAGAGAGAGAGAGAGAGAGAGAGAGAGAGAAAAGAATCGTTTATAGAATCGAACGCGAATCGAATCTTTCGGGCGGGTTGAAATTTCTTCCCGTTTAATATTAAAACCGAATAATTTGGTTAGCCGACGCGCTCGCGTCGGTTCGTGGAACGACGATGGAACTACTCTTGACCTTATTTTGAAATTTTAACTCGGCGCGCGCGTTTCCTGCGCGAAATGGTAAATATTTTTCAAACGCTCGCTGCGCTACGCGTTCCATCGGAGCGTTGACGTCGAAGCGGTTCTCGCATGAAATATTTACCGCGAAGCGCGTACAACTCTTCTTTCGACTATAAAATACCGATCGGTTTCCCTAGAGCAAGCCGCGTTCTCCTCGCGTCGCTATCGGCCAGCCACCAGGAGTTAGGGTGGTTGCCAAACGACGAGGCGCTTCGTTTCGCCATTTCGGCCCAGAGACGACTCCTGCCGTCGAGTGGCGAAATATCGTAACAATGCGCGGTGATTTATTCGTCGCCGACGAAATAGATGCAGGCGACGAACGCGGGAAGGAAGTTCGGATCGTTGCCAGCCCGTCGCTTTCTCGAGGTTAAACGATAACGAAGACTTTCCTACAGGGTGTCGATTCGGTCGCTGAATCTTGCCGGAACGATCGGTCGCGCGGGGTCCGTTTCGAAGAACGTTCCTCGAAAGATCTCGGATCGAATCCGCGCCGTCTCTCGGAACCGACGAAACGAACGCGCGACCGCTTCGTTCGATTCTCGTATCTTTATCTCGATTCCGAGACTTTCGATCGGTCTCCTCCTCGTCGGGCTTTCTTATATTTACACGAAACGCGGACCGTGGACCGGGATAGAAACATCCGTTTGCCAATCTCGCGCGTTCAAATCTCCGCCTGGCCCTTCCTCGATATTCGCTCCCAAAGCAGGGCCACTCGACCGGCAGATATCATCCGCGGGAACGAGCGCGCGGGAGACAAGGGGAGGGAGGGAGAGAGAGAGAGAGAGAGGGGGGGGGGAGAGAGAGAGAGAGAGCGACGAGCTAGGAAGGGGCCAATGAAAGAAAGGACACGCGTCCTCGTCCGGCCGGGTGGTTTTATTGCGAGCAAAACCCGGCACGACGATCAAAAGCGAAGAACAAACCGTATACAGAGCGCCGAGGGAGGGGAGAGCCGCAATTTTGCGTTTTGTTCCGCGTTTTGAGTCGACCTTTCATCAAACGGGATCCGGAGGTCGAGGGAGAGGAGAAGTTTGCTCCTTTCCTAGCGGAGCACGGCTCCCGGACCGCGTGGAAATGCGAACGAGACGCGACGAACGGTAAGCTTTGTAAAAACGACGTCCGTCGACTTTCACGGTCAAAAACTACCGAATCGATCGAGGCGAATTTAGAGCGGGGCTTCCGTTTCGTAACGAGACCGCGGATTTCGACGCGTCCGTTCGAAGGATCGGCGAATTTGCGAGAAAATGGAAGGGCCGTGCATCGAAAGAAACGAACGATCTGCGTTCGCGATCGGGACAGAATCGGGCATTCGCGGGCAGAACTCTTTTTAGGATCGTTTCAGGATCGATCGAACGAACCCTTGCGAAAGCACGGACGCGTTCGATCGGCGTTTCGATACCGAAGCGTAAGAGGAAATCGGATAGAGCCGAGAAGAGGATCTTTCATAGAATTACATCGAAAGAGCGTTCGAAGACGAAGAACGAGACGAATATACGAAGATTCACGCCGCGGCCCTTCGGCCGGAGTTCTCGTCGGAGTTTGCCGTTGGAATTATTCGAAGAGTATCGTACAAAGAGAGCTGCTCGGAAAATGTCAAAGCGACGAAAGGGAGCACGAAGCGGAACCGTAAATATGCCAGAGAAATCGTCGTTAAGAGCAGAAGCACGAGTGGCGGGCGGATCGACGACGAACCGTGCGACCGAAATTTACAACTTCGGCGCGAGCCAAGAGGACTCGGAAGATAGGATATCGCCGTCGCTGTCCCTATGCCTATCCCTATCCCGGTTTGCTTCGACGATCGGGATTTTTATCGGGATTCCGTGGCGCGTCGCGGTATTTTCGTCGAATTTGGATTACCGTCCGAGAATAACCGCGTACGTTGGTCGGCGCCGCGAAACTCGACGTCCGATCGCGCAGCATCTATGAAAAAACGACGAGTGGACCGAGAGCTGCTCGATCTTTCGAGCGCCGACGAGATATCTACTTTGTTACATTATTGCTGGTGGCACGGAATCGCGCACGATTCGCACCGCAACGTTGTAATTATAAATTGGATAAACGATCGTGTTCGATGAAACGTTTCGTAGGTGCCGGAAGGGAAACGATGCGACTAAAAACGCTCGAACGATCGAGACGACGAGCCTGCCCCGAGCACCGAAACCGACCGCGATCGTCGCTCTTATCGCGTCGCGTGCTCGCGATTAAAAAATTGATTCTCGACTTGTTTCCTTAAATACGGTAGGAACGATACGCAACGGTGTACGATATCGCTGTCGAGGAAAGAAAGAAATTTCTATTTCGCGCGGACAAACGCGCGTTGCGCGAAGATCTGCCTCCGAAAGTTGGCCCTTCTCGCGAAGCGAGATCGTATTTATCTCGAGGATCTGGTCGCTGCCGTATCGGAGACCGAACTTCTTAATTAGTTTTTGTATCGCAGCGATTTATACCCGCTCTCTGTAATTTGCTTCCCGAACGCTTCGAACGACCGATTAAAGTTAACGCAGAGGGAGAAACTACCCTCGACTCGCGTCAACGTTCGTTTCCATTTTCCGTTGGGCGGTTGACGAAGTTTCGAACACTCTTGTGGCGGACCAGACATAAAAAGACACGTCCCTCAAAAACGGGGTGTGCATATGCCTTTTTCAGGTTTTCCCGACGCAAGGCGTACACACCGCAATAAAACGATAAAAACGTTGGGACGCAGCTTCGGACCATAGGTCCCGGATCATCCCGGTCGGAAAATCTTCGGGAAAGGCCTTCGCCCTTCCCAAGGACTTTCCCTTGCCAATTTCAATACGTTCTCCCCAATAAATACGAGGACCTCTCGACCGGGAGACGTCAGGTAGCAAGTTTTCCTCCGACTCTCAACGTGTTCATATTTCTGTCTCATCCGTCACTCGTTTACCTTTACCTTCTACACACTGTACCTCATCGCCTTTTGTTACAAGTTATATTAAAGTTCTCGTTATATAAAAACCAGAAAAATTCTCTCGGATTATTTTATATAAACCGTCGCAGTAACCCCTGCGACAAACTCTAATCGATGGAAACGAACGAAGAAGATATACCGCGTCGTTCGCGCAAATTTTTTATAACACAGCCGAGCGTTTCGATCGATTTTGAAATCGCTGTAAACAATATTCTAGTCAGCCTCGACCGAGTTAACGCCGATCAGTTAAATTCTCCGTTAAACAAGCTTTCGTTCGAGCACGCGTGAGCTCTCTTTTAATCGATGCTATGCGCGATTCTCTCTCTCTCTCTCCCTTTGTGCGTGCGCGCAGAGACAGCTTAACACGCGGTGGTATCGAATTAAAAATGATAATTGTAAATTCGGTGCCACCAAATGTCGATCGATCGCTACTGCTAATTTCGTTACCCAGTGGCCGACGATATTTATCGAGGCTCTTTATCCGTATCGTCTATGTTATCTTTAGAGAGATACAGGCAACCATTGTCTACGGGATAATCCCAAACGAAATTATACGCGAAGATGCGATTCGAGCGATCGGCGGCATTCGACGACCGATCGCTACGCTTCGAACCGTATAAATTGTAGACTTTCGGAAATTCGAAGGTAGAGACGAGAAAATTCGACGCGTCGGAAGACTATAAACTCGGGAACGTCCCCGCGGAGCATCGCGCCCCGGCTGTTTCCGAAAGGAACAGGTGGTTCTCGCCGAGGATCGCCGGCGAACGAACGGCGAGGAGATCGACGCGTTAATCGATAAACAGTACTGGCAAACCTCTTACCTTGCCCTGCATAATCAGGCGGATGGTTAGGGTGACCGAAGGGTCGTCGTTCAAGACCGGTTTGGAATCCATACCGTCCATAACGAAGTCACGAGTTCTGTGATTACGGTAAGGAGTTTTCTTCTCGAGATTTGCGGAGGGAAAGGGTGCGGAGGAGGATAAGGAGGACAGGGAAGAGGTTAGGCGAGTGACTTTGGCTGGAGGGGTCTCGGGGGACGTGCTTCTCAAACGCTCCCAGGTATGCTCGGTCCTTGCACTGCAATCAAAACGTTTACTCCGTTATTAAATCATCGCAGAGGTCGACTTTCGGTGCTCGCGCGCGAAGGAGAGGTTTCGCGATCGCGTCGAGATTCGAAGAACCGATCGCGCTAAAAAATATGCGGCTCGATACTTGGCCAACGGGAACAGAGAGCGGTACGGAGTACCGAGTACCGATCGCTTGGACGAACAAATAAAAGTACGAATTCCGACGACGGGTGAATTTATACGAGTCACCGAGGATCACAACCGAGCGAACACTTTCGCGACCCGAAGCGCGGGCAAAGGGGGATTCGGCGGGGCGACGAAACGTTCGTCGTTCCGGAGAAAAACGGAGGGCCGATGCTTCCGCGATTACGGCTTCGCTCGTTCGGTTTTCAGGTCAGGCGATATAAACACCTGAAAGCGCGGCCGAACTGTCCCGGAGGAGGCACGGGAGCGCGAGCCTGGGCCGCTGCTCGACGTCGCTTATTTTACCACGCCGTCGCGCTTATTTAACACGTTGAATGCCACGGGGGTCACCGGTGACCGGCACTTGACTTGGCGGTGACGCCATGGGGGCCACCGGTGACCGGCGCGCCCAAATTGATAGCAATATATATATTGCTATCAATTTGGGCGCAATTATATATATATTGGGCAATTGGGCAATTATATATATATATATAATTTCAAACAAATGTCAATATCTAAAATTTGGTATTATTACCATCGTCGATTCAAACGGTGACCCCTGTCGCAATTAACATGTCAAACATGGTTATATGTATACATCATTATATGTATCACATAAAAGAAAATTCATCGTGGCGCCACGGGCAATTTCTGTAAAACCGGCGTGGCATTCAACGTGTTAACCGCGAACGCAATTATTCCGGCTCCTTCGAACACCTTCTCGCCCAGCTAACCGATATCGGTCGGTCTTACGATCTTATTCGTTTTCAGCCGCAAAATCGCCGAAACGTTCTATACGCCAACGTCGACGTCGATTCGGTCCGGAACAACGGGGAATTCGATTCGTTCGGCGTGCCGAGAGAGAGAGAGAGAGAGAGAGAGAGAGAGCGGGTCTCCGTTTGTTTGCCTCCGCGATCGCAAGATTTCCATTCCCAAATAAGCGAACGCGGTGCGCGAGAACGCGTTAATTCCTCTGGACTAAAATGAAAAAATTGTTCCGTTCTACGGCGCATTCCTCCCTAGCACTTCGCGAACGGTATTCCATTTCCAGCAGAATGCAGGAAGGGGGGTACCCTCGCCGCTCCGGTTGCTACGCCCCTTTCTCAATGCCCCCCCCCCTCCCGCCGTTAAGCCCGCGACCCTCCCTCCGCTCGTAAAAGTGCACCGGACAGGTTTCTCGCTCCGTCCGACGCGAGCGACGCGCTCTCTCGACTCGCGCGCGTCTGGCTCCGGCCCCGGCCGCGTGTTGCCGCGTGTCGCGCGCGTAGCGATAGGCGACGGACGCTTTGTTGCAACAAAGACATCGGTCGCATGCTCCGCGTATCTCCGCGTTATCGGACAGAGGCGTTGTCTCGTTCGGATTTTTCTTGCACCGACACCGGCGTCGACGTCGGACCCGGTCCCCGGTTCCAGTATCGATCTCGACGGGGGGATCCGCGCTTTTAAACGGTCGCTGCATTTTTTGCGCGACAACGCATCGAGCGTTTCTCCGCGACGCCCCGCGAAACCGTTCGGGAATGGAAAAAGCGTTCGTTGACCCGGCGATTGAAATTTCGGAAAATTAAACCAACGATCTCGATCGCTTCCCAACTGGAAATTTCACCGATATTTTCGCGTCGGCCGATGGCGCGTCCAAATCGGGTATCGTCGAAAAATGCTGCGATAATACGGTTCGATCGGCTACTTTGGATCACGACGGTACGCGCGCGCGCGCGGCACTGTAATAGTTTAATGGAACGGTGAATCTGGTACGCTGGATTTAATTTGCTCCGAGTACACACAGGGTGGTCGGTAACGCAATTGGGATCGATCGACTCTCCCGTTCGATTCGAGTGGAAAGAGATAAAAGGCAGAAATTGAATAGCCCAAAGTACCGAACGGTCGTAGTATTTAACAAAATCCGGAAGAATTTCTAAATCGATTTGGATCGCCGCGCGCTCGTTGGTGTTTGGAGGCGCGTATCGTCCGACGGGCGACTTCCTCCTCTTTCACGACTTTTTCTTCCTGCCTCGAACCGAACGAGACGTTGACCCGTTCCGATCGCGCGACCCTCTGGTGCAAGGGTGGGACGCCTAAATGGGAACACCCGAACGAAGTCCGTTATTCGCGATAGCGGAGGAAGACCTCCCCGGAAAGTTGCTTCACTTTTAGAAACCCGTACGACCGTACGGAATGTGTAACTCGTACGCGGGAGTTAATTTTTTCGGAACGATCTATCGAGTTATCGGTGCTCGTTTCCCGTCGAAACGCGTCGCTTCTAATCGATACAGCCTACCGTCCTGCGCCGACAAACTTGTCCGGATCGTTTCCGTCCAACGACCATCCAACGTCCGTCGATATAAAAAAATATGCGACACGAATTTCGATGTCGCGAGACAATGGTTTTTAAAAGGTTTTTATTAACACGTCGAATGCCACGTCGGTTTTACAGAAATTGTCCGCGTGGCGCCACGATGAATTTTCTTTTATGCGATACATATAACGTTGAATTATCATCTGCAACAGATAAGTTACAGTGCGTAACCATGTGTGACATGTTAACACATTAAAGGCGGGGGATCTTGACGAAAGTATGCTAGGTAACGCGGCGACCGCCCCGCCTCGTTTTTCGTCCTAGAGCGGGCGATATTTTGTGTAATCGTAACAAAATTTGGACTTAAAAAAGTTGATTTAAACTTTTAAAACTAAAAGAAATATTAAAAAAGAACTAAACGCTGATTACCAAAAATGTTTTAAAGTACATATTTATGAGAAGAATCTAGTATTTTTTATGAGTGTGATAACGTTGATAACACTCGCCACGGTGAAAAGGCGCATTGCAAAACTCGCATTTGAAGCAAGTCAACTTTCTTGTTTTATGTGCCGCACAAACTACGCAGTTTCGTTGGGCATATAGCTTTTTGCCTTTATTTTCTATCCGTATTAAGTTGTGCTTTTTGATGTCTAGCGTACTAATACGACTCCCGCCTTTAAGCTACAGTCGAGGTAAATCGTATTACTACGACTCCCGCCTTTAAGCTACAGTCAAGATAAATCGTATTACTACGACAAAATTTTAGATATTCACATTTGTTTGAAATTATGTATACTTCTATCGATTTGGGCGCGCCGGTCACCGGTGGCCCCCATGGCATCACCGCCAAGTCAAGTGCCGGTCACCGGTGACCCCCGTGGCATTCAACGTGTTAACACTTAGCCAACCGAATGGGGAGATCTCCCCGTTTTAAATTCAGTCGACCGATGACCGATTGGGGAAATCTTCCACGTGTAATTAAAAATGACTGCTTAATTTTATTAAGATTTGTAAGAGGTACGAATGTTGAAGAAGTAATCGATACCATATAAGATTGCTTCGTAATTTTTGTTGAATTAATCGAAGTACTTTAATTGTAGGAAATTTTTGAGGTTTCTGGCGCGGTCGTGGAAGTGTTAAACGCGCTTGCAACGCGTCCGCGTTTCTTTCGCGATACGAGTAGAAAATACTGTTCAACAACGATTCTTACTTTACAGCGAACTGTACAAACAATGAAGCTTTGTCTCGTTCCAATTCAAATTAGGCATCGAAATTTAATACGATCCACGAGTTCGAACTCGTCCATCGAAGAAAGCGATTCGCGATTTCCTAACGGGAACGTTAAAAAGGAGGATTAAACTGTGCGGTGAAACGTCGAGGTTATTCGGAACGAATGGTCGAAGAGCGCTATCCTCTCGCGCGTAGCCGGTCTTCCGCGATGCTCGAAACGTTCGTTAACACGTTGAATGCCACGGGGGTCACCGGTGACCGGCACTCGAATTGGCTACAGCGCCGTGGGGGCCACCGGTGACCGGCGACGCGACGAATAGTTAAAATCCATAATTAAGGTAAACATCGATACGCATAAATTTTTAAATAATAATATTATAATAATTGTAATTTATTACAATGCGCCACGAAAAATGCATAAAACAAGTTTAAACAACTAAATTTATCTGCTGTAAATACTATTTCAACATAATATGCATCGCATAATGAAACATTCATGTTGGCGCCTTGGGCAAGTCACGTAAAATTCGCGCGGCAGCCAACGTGTTAACACGTTGAATGCCATGGGGGCCACCGGTGACCGGCACGCCCGAATTGATAGAAATATATATATAATTTCAAACAAATGTCAATATCTAAAATTTTGTATTATTATCATCGTCGATTCAAACAGTGACCCCTGTCGCAATTAACACGTCAAACATGGTCATACACTGTCACTTATCTGTCGCAGATAATATTTCAACATTTATGTATCGCATAAAAGAAAATTCATCGTGGCGCCGCGGACAATTTCTGTAAAACCGGCGTGGCATTCGACGTGTTAAAAGAGACAGACGGTAGTAGAAATCAAAAGTAAGCATACAAGATATATCGCGAACTCGTGCGTCCGTCTCTCATCGAGCCGCGCGATTCTTTTTCGGCGACACAGGAAGCAGAAATTCGCGCGACATCGACAGATGGCGCTGAAGCTTCCGCGTTTGCAGACAATACGCGCGGGCAACGTGGTTCGGAGATCCGTGTATTGTTCGCTGGTACACACGCAACCGCGAATATTGACGCGGGAACGCGAGACGGAACACGGAACGTGGAACGGTACCCCCAACCCCCACCCTCCCCTCTTCCCCGCCGCGATTGTTATCGTTCGTCAATAAAATTGCATCCGCGTTCGATCGAACGCGGGAGCGGGTAGAAACGAGAATCGTCGCGTTTATCGACGGAGGTGAAAAGGCAGGGCGCGTATAAGCGATATACTCGATTATTCGATATCGTAACGCGTTCCTATCGGTAATTTCGCGAGCGAGATCCGAATAAATTCGTTACCGCGAGACGATGCTTCGGTTGATAAATACCCGTTACGGTCCGCCGAGCGATCAATTTTTTCGATAACGAGAGCACACCTCGAGCGAACGCGGTCTCGCCGAGGCACCGAGTTTCGTCGGCCAGTCGCGTGTCGTCGCGTTCTATCCGGTCTCACCGTCCGCTAATTATCGAAGCACCCCGTATCGCGCGGAACGGACGAATTTCAAAGTGAAAAGCTCCGTCGGCGCGACCGCGCGCGCTATATTTAGCCTTGTCCTGTCTTTCTAATCGACCATGCGCGTCTATACCGGCGAACGCGACCGTCCCGTCGTGCCGCTGTCCCCGCGATGCGATGCGATCGCGTCGCGAAATTTAGCGCGATTCGCATTCCGTCGTGCCTGCTCGTGTATCCCGACTCGACGATGCCGACCGGTCCAATCGTTCGATCCGCTCGCGACCCTCCGTATCTCCGGCTCTCGTCGGGAGATCCAACACATTTTTATTCGCATTCGATTTCGAACGCGCGACGATGCGACGAGACGCGACAACGTCGGTCGTTGCACCAGACACATTGCGTAACGTCGAACGGACGCCCTCCGACTAATTCGAGCAATCACGGATCCGTAGGGTAATCCGTGCGATCCGGTGCGCGAAAATCGTCGCGAAATTACAGTCGGCCGTGTGCGGTGTTTGGTGCGCGCCGCGTCGAGTATCCGATCGTGAAAAACCGTAGGACGACGCGGTCGACGGTAAACGGTATATACGGCAGGCGGACGGACGGACGGACGAACGGGTAAACGCGTGGCCCTGTGTAAAATTTCCTCCTTCGCCGACGCGCCGCGCACCTCGCACCGAAGAGCCGCGACACCGCTGCCGCTACGCGTGCACGCCGGCGGTTCTCGTTTATGTAACGCGGAAAACCGGCTTTTCCATAAACGCAACGACCGACGAGTTTCACGGCGCGACAGTTAATTTGCGCTGCGAGCGTCGCGGTCCACGCGCTACCAACGCGGATCGCGGACGCGAGCGAACCGTCGTCAGGAAAACGATTCGTCTCGATCGCACCGTACGCGATGGATCTGTTGCTCGAGAAAATGGTCGATCGTCGTTGCGCGACGGAGGACGGCTGTGGCAAACGATCGTACGACTTTTGAGAGAGAGAGAGAGAGAGAGAGATAGAAAGAGAGAGAGAGAGAGAGAGAGAGAGAGAGAGAGAGAGAGAGAACGCGATCGAACGCCGACGCGAAACGCACGTTGCAGATCCGTACTCTCCACCGGACGAACACGCTCAAAGGCGTGCGTGCACGTAGTAGACGGCTCGTAGCGGCGGTGCGGCGGCGACGGAGAGCCGTTTGGTTTCGGGATCAAAATCGTGCAGCGAAAAGCGGCATTGTTTCGAAGACGGTAGCACGCGCGGCGACATGCTGCATAGAGAAGGTACGCAAATACGAGTCGACGACCAGAAGGAGCGGTACGGTCGTAACAGAAAGAGAAAACTAATCGCTAGGCTAGAACCGTTTGTCTCGGTCGCACACCCGAGAGGCCAGCCGGTCCTTCTCTCTCTCTCTCTCGCTCGCTCGCTCGTTCGTTCTCTCTCCCTTCCTCCCTCCCTTTCGCTCTATATATATCTCGCTCACTGTATCTTTTCTCCCTCTTTCGTTACTATCCGAGAGGTAGGAGGGGTAAAGAACCGATCGTTCGATTTGCCAGCAACAGCTTTCCTATCTTCCTCGTTGCTGGTCGTTCGTATTCCGTGTCCGTTCGAATTACGCAGCCAAACCGTATTACCGTCGAAATACGAGGCGAGAAACGAGAGGCGAGAGGCGGACACGCGGCAACGAAAACACTGGTTACACTTGCCGCCACTGTAACGACCGCGGACCGATAAGAGATAGTCGAATATTATTATTATTATAATCCGTGGACGCACGCGTCGTACGCGTACGTTTTCGTATCCGCACGTTGCTCGGCGAAAACTATCACCCCGATCGACGGAAAACGACGAGCCAGATCAGAGTTCGTTCGGTACACGAGAACGAACCTCCGACGAAATTCGTTTCGAGGAAGTCGACGTCGACGCGGCGTCGCACACCACGCTGCGAACCGTCTCCCTCCCGGCACCGTGTGCATACGTACGTAGAATTTGTCACCGTTGCGCACAGCTTGCACACGAGAACGCAACACTCGCGATCCCGCACGAAAACGAGGTACGGACGACGGTCGGCACGGATCGCTCGACGAGCGTTCCGACACAGAATTTCTCGGCGGAATACGGGAAAATTGAACGAACGGTAATAACGCCGGCGCGGCGTGTGCGCCGTAGCGGCGCACCATCCGTTGTTCCTCGTCCGGTCGGTCCGCTCTCCGCAACGAGGCGTCCCGAGCGGACGAGGTTCGCATTTTAATGGGGCGCGGCCGTACGAGAATATTCTTAATTACCTAAATGCGCTTCTCAATCATCGGGGATCGATCCGGCTCGCTTCATCGACGCACACTACACACTCGATCCACGGAAACGGGGGGAAAGGAAGAAAAACACTACACTCTACGCGACACTGGAAAACTGCACCACCTCGGCGGAACGCGAACGAGTCTAGCTCGTTCTCTCTTACGTCCGGTGTCCGGTCTCGCTCTATTCCGTCGATGCGCGGCACTGTGCGCAGTGCGCGCCGCTGCTGCGTGTTCGCGTCCGCGTCCGTAGCGCGACGCTACCGCCTCCTAGCGGCCGCCAGCCTCTTCTCGACCAACCGGCGCGCGACATCGGCTGGCCAATCGCGGCGTCGCTGGCTACCGCTCTGGCTACCCTCGGCCACCGCTTTCCGTTCGACCGACGAACGCGCGCCAACTTCGAACGCTCTTTTCCGAACCGATCCGTGCGACCCAATTCTGGCGTTCTCTCGCTGGAATCGAGATCTCCGTCGCGCGCGGCTCCGATGTTATATCGTTCGAAATCGCTTGTCAAGAAGTTCGAATTTGCATTTTTCTACCGAATAGATAAAATTATAAGCGATCGTTCGCGAACAGCGTCGGTCGAATCGATCGTATCGGCGATCGTCGAGGCTTTCTCGACCGTGTCGTCCTCTCGATTTCAAGTACGCGGACCGTTGGACACCCGATACTCGTACAGGCAGTTTAACTACCCGTAGTTACTCCCGCGGAGTAGTCGCGCTAACTCGATGCTGGAAATCGATAAACTGTGAAAATAACTCTTTTACGGAGGGATATCGATAAAAAATTAACCGGTATAGTTCGAACGCGCCGGAGCCCGATACGTACGTATAAATAAAATTATCGGAACCGCTCGATCCGGCTCGGACGGCGTCGCTCGCGCGCGCGAAAAGGTTAAACGGAAAACAATATTCACCGGATTATCGACGTCGAACGATAACGACGCGGATGATTGTAATTGCCTTGTATTAGGTAATATTCCATCCCGCGCGCGGCACACGTGAAAAACGAATCGAGTTACCGCGCCGAGGCCTCTGTTTGTTCAACGGAATATCGCTCGTACGAATAAACATATACGAATATGCAAATGCTCGTTTCGCACGCGGCGGTACTCGCTCGATCGTAGCTACGGACCAGATTGAAAATTGCTTCTCTATCGCGTTAATTTCGGCGAACGCTTCCGAACGCAACGGCCCCGTAATCGCGCGCGCGCGCGGTCCCAATCGAAAATCAACGTCTACGCGTTGTAGAATCGTCGCGAGCCCTTTCCAACGATCCAATCGCCGCGATCGGTCGGCCAGTCGAAAGTTGATCCTTCGCGTTCGAAGTCGTTTCGACTCGAAATCCAAAATCGATTTCCCGACTTACGGTATTTCCATATTAACACATTAAAGGCGGGAGTCGTATTACTACGATTTATCTCGACTTCTCATAAATATGTACTTTAAAACATTTTTTGTAATTAGTGTTTAGTTCTTTTTGAATATTTCTTTTAGTTTTAAGAGTTTAAATAATCTTTTTTAAGTCTAAATTTTTTTACGATTACACAAAATATCGCCCGTTCTAGGACGAAAAACGAGGCGGGGCGGTCGCCGCGTTACCTAGCATACTTCCGTCAAGATCCCCCGCCTTTAATGTGTTAA